AGTAATATAGTGCTGGAGAAAATGCTAAAGAGGTGTTTGATTTACAGTAGAAATTCCTGAGAAGATACCGGCTTTCATTGCAGCTTGCCTGTAACAAAGCAATGTCAGGTTTTTTGTAATCTATTAAATAAATAACTAGTCTGCTTGAAAACAGGCTTTCTGCTCTGCCGGCTAACAGCAGTGTTCGAGGTTCTGTACTCCTTTTAGTAGTTTGTGATCTTACTATAGCTTAAAAGGAGAGCGCTTTTTTGCTGTGTTAAATGTCATTGCTACCCTCAGTTGTGTTCTGGAAAGGAGGTGGAGGAAGCAGAGTTTTTGTGTCTACACAAAACAACTTTTGAATATTCAAGCTGTTTTTTAAAGAGCTTTCCATGGGGGAATGTCACAGATTATAAGAAGATGACCCACTGCGGTTTGACGCAATAGTTTTACTTTTCTTATATTACAGGGGGAAAACCAGATGACATCACCGTCCTTCTTTCTATTGTGGCCGAGTATACAGACTGATCTGCCCGGAGTGTCAGCTTCTGACGTTTTTGTTAGCCCCGAGCTCCTAGCTTCACACATACGGTTTCCTGCTGGCAGGATTGCTTTCTTCCTTCGCAGCTGATCTCGGCAGCCGGTTCTCGAGCTCGTTGCCTGTCTTGAGACGCAACTGAAGTCCTTGTTAAGAACCACTCTCGTAGTACACTGGTCTTTGTCTGCCAGCAAGAAATGAAGAAGCTCAAGGCTTGAAGCATGTCTTTCAGAGCTTAGTCATTGTCCTTAAAAGGGGGAGGATCAATCCCACATCGTTACTGCGTTCGAAATGTGACTTACTTTCAAAGGAGTAGGATTGGTTTATCATCTTTCAAACTAGATTCAATAGCTAGAACCTCTCTAAGAGGGCGTATTACTCTATTTACTAGAAACATTCACTATTCATTAAAGGGTATGTTACAGAACACAGTTTCATAAGCATAGTCTTGTAACAGTGATAGCTGAGGTTTCGTGTTTCTAAGCTCCAGTTTTCAGGAGATTTATAACTGCTGTAAACATTCTGCTCTTGCCATACATGGTGTCAGCCTAGGAGCCTTTTCTAGTACGAAATTTCAAAAAACATACTTAGTTCAAGTTATATGGATGCAAATGTGTTTTGTGATTTCAGGTGCTTAACTGTGATCTTAAAAGTTCTGCAGATCATTCGTCCGTAATGGGCCTGGTATCTGGATGTTTTGGCTGTGGATAATGCTGGGGGTTTTTTGTTTTCTTTTGGTTTTTTGACAAAAATCTTAACTCAGTCTCAAAAAGCCGAGCTGGCCAAAGTTGAGGTCCTTTCAGCATTTTAACCCATCTCACCAGCGCGGGATGATACGGCATAAATGCTACAGTGGGAAGTTGCACAAAGAACAGATCATCCTCAACTCTGAACGTCTTCACTTTTGGTAGATAATTCTGTTGTTAACGAAACATAATTTGTGTTAACAATTGCCATTCTCGCTTGTGTAGAACAGAATATGCTGCACCAGTTTAAGTCCAGTTGATCCTTATCTTTCTGATTCTCAGACAAGCACCTCTTTCTTAGGCTGTGGCAGCAGCAGTAAGTACATAAATGGAAACTCTTAATGAATAATCAGAAAAACTTACATTTCAGTAACTAAAGTTTAGGGTTTTCGGAATGAACCTTAATGATGTTTACAGTCACCTAACAGCCACTTTGCAATATTACATTTCCTTTTGAATTACAGTAGCTCACATTCGTTCCCCCCGTTCCAGCAAGCTTTCCTTTTTCTTTCCCGAGGTTCATACAAAAAGCTGATAGCTGTAAAGATATATATATTTTTGGTCAGTTTTTCATTAACTTTTTTGCTGGTAGAAAAGTATGTAGAAATAAATTAAAGCCATGTTTTTATATATAAAAAGTCGGGTAATGTTGCTGTTTAGGTGAGTGCAGTTAAACTCGGTCAGTAAGTAATCTTACCTGCTCTCAAAAGGAGATTTTTACTACCTGGTTTATTGTATTAAAACTGTTTAAGTTTGAGGTTACCTCAACTTGTTTAAAGAATTTTTGTGGACTTGTACTGTATATTTGCGTAACTATGTCAAGCTTTTATTTAAGATCATTTAACATGTACCATGTACATGTCATTTTACTATATTTCAATGCGTCATGCTTGTAACAGGCATTTCATTTATAATAAGTGATTAATTTGGAAGCTCTTCAGTAATTTATCTGCTATTCCTAAATTGGCATGTTAGCTATCTATTTTAAATCATTACTCGTCAAAATGCCTTAACTACCCTAACTTGACCAAAATGCTATTTTGGTGAGGGTATGGGGAGGATTATATTAATGAAGAAAAACTAATTAGTTTTGCGATCCGTGGAACAGCGAGTGGTGGACAACTTTGCACAAATCGTCAGTCCTTGTTGTTTTTTAAAATTGAACAAGCTGTGTCCAGCTGTCTCGTTAGAAGGAATGTATTCACGCTGCAGTACAGGGCTTTGTTTCTAGCATTTGGGAGGGGGGGGTCTCTCTCAAATCTGGGTCTCTTTACATTTTATTCTCCAGTATTTACTGTCACGCTTCTTGATTAGAGCAGATTTGATCAATTGTTCTTTCCCTTGAACTTACCTTAAAATGATGCCCCTGCAGACCTGGGCTGTGCTGCACTCGGACCCCTCGCTCTCAGCGCGCTCGTCCCCAGCCCTCGTTATTTTTCCCCCCCGCTTTCTAGAACTATACACCGGGAGATGCGTGCCGGTCGGATGGACGCGTATGGCGAAGGTGCTTACCCCCGCCTGAGGTGTTGCGTGCGCTGTACTCTGCCGCTGCTGGTCCGGGGTCTGGAATCCCCGAGCGGAGAAACTCGGCCAGCCTTCTCCAAAGCTGAACCGTGCTGCCTGGCGGGTGTGACGCCAAGCCTCGCGCTCTCCGTTAAAGCCGTTCTTAGCTGAGCAGTAGCTACAAAGCCATTTGCCTCATATCACATCGTGATTATTACTTTTTTTTTTTAATAATGAACAAATTTGGATTTTGATTTACAAATCATGAGTTTATCCCTCACCGGACACACCAAAGACCAGTAAAGCTTATAGCTTTTCCATCTGTTTATAAAGCAATACTGTATTATAAAGAATTGATATTTTTATCACATGCTTGATTGTTTTTGGTTTTCTTTTTTTTTCTTTTTTTTTTTTTTTTAAGATGTGCACTCTAAACATATCAAACCTATTTTCTTCCTATGAACTTAAGCTGTCTGCGCACAATAAATTTTTGGGAAAGGAAATGACAGGGCCCATACTATCGAAATAATTTTAAACGATGCATGAAGCAGTAACACTTCCTAGGAATTAGATTATGGTGACCGTTCACGAGAGGAACGTACAAGAAGGGTGTTCCGTGAAACGGCAGTGTGCGTGAGCGGAGCACAGGCTGCCTTTCAGCCGCTGCAGGGGGGGCGTGCGTGTTACAGGAGCTGGTGGTTTGGGGGCGGTGGTCGGAAGGAAGAGGAAGAGTTCCATACACCGGTAACCACGTAACGTAACGGGGCTGGCAGGAGCTGGGATTTCTGCAGCGGCGTTACTAGGTATTTGGGTCAAACAGGGCTAAGATGTGGTGAATTGGAAAAACTCTGTGGTTCCTTGCTACTTTTATGGCTATCTTTGGGAGACCTGCGACATACAGTTTCCCTCTAAATGCACTTTCTTCCTGTTTGTGAAGAAGGTATGGCCGAAAAGAAACCAAACCGAAAACCAGCTTTTGGGACCAGACAGTTACGACCGAGTAAAGGAGAAGGGCGAGGCGAAGGTCTGGCGAAGACGGGAGGGATTTTGTGGTGGAATCTCTGTCTCCCGCTAACGGACATCCTTTCTCCAGGGCAAAAAACCAGACTGCGTGTGTAGGAACTGACTGTATGAAGTAGTTTCTTACAAAGATAGCTGAAATAATGAAGCAAATCTGAGTCTGTATCTAATGAGGATGCTTTTTTTGTTGTTGTTAAAATGAGACTATCATCTATGCTTACCTAAGAGGCAATTATGTGAATTTCATGTCTGAGGTATAACTTATGCAGGAATAGTTCTGTAAATACATTTAAATGAATTGTAAAGATATTTAATAAATATAGTATTTATACTAAAATGTCTTGGGTTTTTTTTTTGAAGTTGACTGCAAAACCTCTGTTTGTCAATGCAGTGATGTCGCCGCCCGTGCTCGGGGTGTTGGGCTCTCGCTTAGGCCTTCGAACAGCGTTCTCAACCCCGCGTTTGAATGACGAGGCAGGGAGAGGGAAAAGAACAATGCAAGTCTGAAACACAAAAGCCCCTGAAACTCCTGCTTTCAAACATCGCTTTTATTTTTTTAAAGGCATTTCTATGACAACTTTGGTTATTCAGTTCAATGCCAGTTCTACACAGCTTCTGTAAAAACACCAGCTATTCTCTAGCACCGACGTGTTCGGCTATGCCAGAGTGGAAGGGTTTATTTTTCCAGCACTCTGAACTTCACCAGAGCGGCTTAATTTGCCTGAGGCGATAACACAGCTTGACTTCTCTAGTGAGAACGTACTGGAGAGCTGGACATCCAAAGCAGGGTACCTACAGAACACATAATACGCAAATCTCAATCTAGTCAATCACGCCCTCAATTTGTATTGCGTTGTGACAATGACCCGTGCTGGTGGTTAACGTAAACGGTGAATAAACGCTGAACCTGTACTGACAGCACTCGCTACCGAGTTGAGTTTTGTCCTTTTCTTATGTCTGTCTTGCGGAAAAAGGAAACGGGCCCCGTTTGAGCAGGATTCCCGCTTTCCAGGCTGTCTGAATAGGTAGTGGTGAAATGCAGTTCACCACACAAGCTCAGAATACAGTTTCCATCGGGTTCTAACTTGCAGAGGAACTGCAGTTAAACTTCTTTCTAAAACTAGGAACAGCTCCGCAATTACCATGTCAAACACACTTTTATCTTTCAAGGCAGTCCCCGATAGTCTTCACTTGGATTCAAACGCTTTGTGTTCCTAGAGAACTTGGGAGCTCTGCCCACTGCCAGAATCCTCTTCGGCGTCGCTAGGTGTTGCTAAGCTGTGGAAGGTGTGACTGATGGCATCCTTCTCCTTACAACAAACCGCTCCAAAAAATAAGGAATGAAACTGGAAAATGCAACATTTATAGAAGTAAGAAATTGCATGTGATACAGAATTTGGGGGTTATTGGGTATTTCTGAAGCTTTTGTCACTTTAAAAGCACACTTTAAAATCTTTACCGGTCTACAGTGTTTCCTAGTAAAACACACCTGCCATCTGTGACTATTGCCAGCGTTACAGTTAGCCAGGGTAGTGGCCTTTCTTGTCAGCTACGCTGCTGTGAAAGCCGGTTCCATTGAACCGCCACGTGGAGAACCGAGTATCAACGTGTAGTAACCCCCAGACTACGGGTAGTGTCCAGCTCAATACCAGCTAGGGTATTCCACTGTAAACGCGATGGGGAGCCTCCTCACCTTCTGATAACGAGACTCTGTTGCCTCTCCTTCCAGCATCGCATGGTCCTCTGCCTCGGTTATGGCTGTTCCAGCTACGCCTGTCGTACCTTTCTTTGCGACTCTGGGAATACTTTTAATCTCTTGTTTTGCCAAAGGACTCGTGGTTTTCGCCGACCCTGTGTTCGGTGCATTTCCATTCCACCGTGGCTTTTTGGAAGCAGCTGCTTCTGCATTGCTAGCTTTATCCATGGAGGTTTTTTCAGATTTACCCGTGCGTGCCTTCAAGCTGGATTGGAAAGAGTGGGTCAGGTTAGTAACTGGTTTTTACATGGTTTTGTTAGAAAGTCTTTATTTTCTGTTAATGAAAAGCATTATGGCTTTAGATTCTTCCCTTCCCCTCCTCCTGCAACAGAACCCCGTGGAGATAAAGGAAAGCAGAAGCTAGCACGGAGTGCGCTCTGTTGCACCAAGTTTTATTGCTCTGTATGATGCCAACATGTTCCTGAACCTGTCTAGATCACAGAGTGCTTTCCTATGAACAGAGCCTCCAGGATCCGTACAATGCTTACCAACACCCTGCCAGAACGAGCAGATCACTTCCTTTCCATCTTAAATCTGACTTGGCTGGAAAACTAAACTCCAGTTTTCCATCCCCTTAGGCAGTCTGCCTCCCTCACCTGCCCCAAAGCCCGCCGTTACCTTTCCTGCCGCTGTGAAACGCAGGGAGGCTGCTGGGAAGCCGTCTCCGTTTCGACATCAGACAAGGTAGCCAAGATAAAGCTGGCTTCCAGCACCGTATCTTCAACGCCGAAAGCAATTGGTCTAAACACAGATATTCAGAGACTTAAACAGCACGCATAATTACACACATCGTGGGAGGAAACACGGCTCGTGCAATTCTATACATAAAGATTAAAAAGTGCCTCCGCTGAAAATCTAACGTATTTGCTGCTGAACAATATGAGATGGCTTCCTGTTACAGTTGTAAATGCACCAATGAGCAAATGCTATACATTATACTTACTCAAACTATAGTTTTAGGTATGTAACAGTTAAAATTGTATTTTAAACAGAAAATGTATTGTTTCTTTAGACTACTACATAAAATCATTGCATGCATTAGACTGAGAGCCTGAAGTGTCCAGGTAACATAGATAGGTGCTCGTTAGTCAGCATGGCTAGCTTAGCAATGCTGGTGCCGGTGTTAAATGCTTTATGCATAATAACAAACTATTCAACCCTGTATCGCAGATTTGAAAGACAGCTTTTGGTACGAAATGAAAATCTGTTTTACTGTTCCAGTTAAACACTCATTGAGTAACCTGCGGACAAAAATCGACCGTAGAGTTGTAACTGCAGCAGTTCTAGATAGGTATGTTCCAAAACGTACTTTCCAGATATGTCAAAATGGATTGAGACGGGAACACTGGTAGCTTCTGAAAATGCTAGCAGTCCCTGAAAAGAAGGGGTGGGTGGTTAAGCGCCGTTTTAAAAACAGAAGATCTATATTAGAATGTAAGTTTATCCCAGCTGCTGTTTACTGGTAAAAAGAGGGGGAAAGTCTACTGCCTCCAGAATACAGTTCTTGCCTTCCCTGCCTGGAGCGTTGCCAAAGAAGCTTCTGCATGTGGAACTTCTGTGGCCACGATGCTTTCTCCAGCACAGTCAGAGCGTGTCTGCCCAGCACTGCAACTACGTTTTTGTTGCTTTAAAAATGTTTCGCTTGCCTTTCAAAGGCCACTGTGAGGGACTCGGCAGTGTCCTGAAGATCCTGGTTTTTAAAGCCAATCCTCAACCAGCTGGTGAAATACTGCTGCTGGTCAGGAGGCCTGGTGGAACACTCCCTCGGCCATTCTGCAGGGACCATGCTGCATCGTCCTGGTCAAGTCAGGCAAATTAATGGGAAATGTTTTATTTTCAAGACAAACTCTTACTTTACCCTCAATTCTTTAAGGCAAAACGTCACTTCAGAATCTACTCCAACTTGGAAGTAGTCAAATTCATCTGGATTTAGTTGTATTTCAGTAAGCATTGTCTTTGAAAAACCTGTTTAAAGTAACAAGAAAGTCAAGGACTCAAAGGAGTGAAGTTTGAACTCAACAAAACTATGACTATAACCGTGAGGTTTTTACATCAGCATCGTTTGAACAAATACTTGTATTTTTATAGTGACTAACAGTAATAAATATTTATCTAAATTTATTTTGTTATTAAGTAAAACAAAAGCCTCAATTTATTTACAGTATATTATATAGATTTAAACATAAAGGCTTTTAACAGAACCTATTTTAGGTTCCACTCTGTGATCTAACCTGATACCTACTGTCGTTCTTGCAAATCTGCTTTGTCGACAGGCGTTCATCACAAATAGTACTACCGGCTGCTTATTGTTGCATAGATGGGAAGACCAAAATGCAGCATGACTTTAACAGATTAATCATAATTGCTGACAATCATCAGAGGACAATGAAGGTGGACTTAGGTTCTTTGTTTTAAATTATAATCTTTTCCTGATACGTAAGTGGCAACAGGAAATAGGCTCTTCAGTTACGGGTATTCGGTTGTTGCTTGTTATCGTTACATTAGTCCGTAGTTGTTACTAGGTGTGTGAGAAGAAAGTAAGAGGGTACTTCCATGATGCGTTATAGTCTCAGACGCATTCAGAAAAATTTTACAGCAGCTTAAACAGTACACACCTATCCAGGAACCTATCCAGTTCTCTTCCAAAGCCAGGCTGCTAACAAAGCATTACAAACTGTTCCCAGTCTTTTGTTTCTCTGCTCAACAGGTTTGGGGGTTTTTTTAATCTCAGCCTTCAACAAGGCCCCATTGCGTGTTCAAATATAATCTTGTAAAGTTCCTTAAAACTGTAGAAATATACACCTATAACACACCCGCCAGCTTCTGCAAGGCAGAGCCCACCACATGCAAACGAAAACAAGTCTAGGCAGAAGGTGTAATTTCTTTCTTTGAAAATTAAACCTGAATGTGGAAAAACCCAAGCCATCGCCAGATGATACGTTCAAAGGACACGTTTTGTTTCAGTGCATACAGAACATTTGCTGCAGGCAATATACTGCATCACAGGCTACGCAGCAAGAACAATGCTTGTAATTCCTCCTTTTTCTCCTTGACTATTTGGTTTTAGTATCTCATTAAATTTTTACCTACCTTTTTTTTCACTTTCTTTCTTACAATAACCCCCGTAAGTGTATACAGTTTCTAAAACAACAAAATTTGTCATTCAAAATGTAATCTTTTTAGTGTCTTTTTATTTTCAGTAATTTCTTCCCTGTTTCGCTCCAGTCAGTTTCCACCGCTTAATCCTCCTCGCTCTCCACTGCTTTAGCCTGTTCTCAGCACAATCTCCGCCCCTACGCTCTAGGCAGTCATCTTTTTCTAGGTCATTATCCTCAGCTTTGCTCATAAGCAAGTATGAAAAACATCCCTTTATTATATGATATACCAGAACCTATTCTTCAAAAACACAATTATAACTTTAAAATTAGTTTGAGTCACACACCAAGAATGTAGATTGTTCTCCATCTCAGATGGAGATCTGAAAATGGCAGTGCGCAGCATAACAGTGTTAGGCCAGCTAACACACTGTATTGCCCTTATACTAAAATATACCCCATAATGATATCAATTCTATAATTACGGCATTCAGATTTAAATAGTTTTTTAAAACATAAAATTATCTCCTTTTTCCTGTCTGTTGCCATGCTGCTGCTCTTGCAGCACAGTAATTACCTCTATTCAAGCCTACAGCAAGCGGCATAATTTATTGCAATTGGCTGCTCAGTCCGGTATCTGCCACGGATACCAGGACAATGTTACTACAAACATACTTTCTTAAAATATATTAAAACCAGAGGGTGGCAGTATGACTTAAAATCTCTCTATATATGTTCCCTCTCTTAAAAATCTCATTCAGCCATAAAATGCATTCACCGTTTATGTTGCAATAGTTATTATTCCTTTAGTTCACCTGTTTTAAAGTCCCAATATTGTTTCATCTTTTGAATTTCCTTACCAGTGTCTTCCTCAGTGTAACTCTTCAAACAAACTTTCATTGGAGTAACCGATAAGGTTACTTCTTCTTGGCTGGTCGGAAAGTGAATCATTATATCAGCCAGCAGCCTATAAAATTTCATTCAACATTAAAATAATTTTACATGCCACAAATTACTAGCTAACATTTGTTACTCACATTAGAAATTAAAATTACTTGGCAATACTGTTGGAAAAACTGCCTTTGGAATGTGCACCCCTTCAAGCGTGCTGTATCTTTTCAATTGATTTATATACCAGTAGGTACGTAAGAAATCTAAAAATACAACTAGTAACGAAGGCAAATTTGTTTCTATTTAATGCCTGTGTATGCTGCCAAATCAGTCTTACGTATATATATTGCTGCTACCTTTCTATATGTATATATCACAATTTTGAGCAAACCTCAGTCCTATACTCTTTATTCAAAAGCTTGCAGTTTTAGAAGTTGCATAATCTTTTTATAAACACAGTATCTAATATCTATACAGAGATAACTTTATACACCTTTAATGGTTTAATGGTTGGTTATTGTGACAAGAGCTCCTGTGCACAAGAAACGCTTCTAACAGAAATGCTGTCAGGAAAAGCGCAGTCTAACTGTTCTTTGCCTTTGCTTGCAAAGACAAGCCAAATCTTGGATTCTTCCAAAGGGCTGCATTTCACCACTGGATTCTTTGCCTATAAAATTAAAGCACTACTTTATTTGTCATAGGTGGAAGCTGCTCACAGGTGTGAATCCAAATTACACATTACACGCTTCTCAAGGTTAGACTGAGTAGGATTAATGGCAGAATGATCCAAATTTCTTACGTTGTACTGTGAAAAATCAAGCACTAGGATACAGGACTTAGGAATTCACCATTTTTGACTGTGCCCTAATCAGATTTTGATTATGTTAATGACTATGAGAGCAATATTGCCTTCTGTGTGATTTTTTTTTTTTTTTTTTCAGGAAAAGTATTTTTGTATTCATTACCTGGAGTGGACTTTAAGTATGTTTGGACACATGTGCTTTGCAAAAACAGCCTGCAACGGATCACATTCTTGAAAAGTCAGATTATATGTTTTTACAACACCTAAGTATAAAGGATAGGAACAAAAATCAATGCTGGTCTGTAATTTTCAATGTTTTTTCAGTATTAATTGTTCTTTTATGAAATCTCAATAGAGAAAGTAACCAAGCAGCTCACTCTAGCTACGTGGAAGTAACTCACCCACAAAAAGAAAACTGAATCAACCTGCCATCTAAGACTTACTTCCTCCTGTTAGTTATGCCCCTCCAGCATCTGAGTTTTTTAAGAATCCACAAGAAGTGAACAGCAACAAGTGCAACAAATGCAGGGGAAAAAAGGCTTCAATATTTAACTGGTATAATAATACAAATGGTGGTGGAATACAAAAGGCAAACCCTACAGATCTCTATGTATTTCTAGATAAGCATGACCTAAGTGAGCTTAATTGTCTTGAGACCTAACTCAGTAGATTATCTCATTATTATTAATACAAGCTAGATTTTTAATAATATAAAACACTGCCTATTTACACAGCACAGCACAGCTCAGCAAGCTACGTCGACAGATGTTGGTTTGAGTTTTGCAAAGACTGATGAATGTACGTGGTGTTCTGCTGGACTGAGGATGTCAGACCTGTCACTGCGTGGAAGAACTGTATTAGAAGTGGAAAGACCCTGTAAATCCTCTAGTTCAAACACCTGCCAAAACAGGATTTCCCTCCCTTCCCATAACACGTGTTTTTTCAGAATTTACTCCAGCCTAATTCTAAATGTTGTAAGCAGTAGGCTGACAATTAATATACAGCATGCATAACTACTGAACTGAAGAACGTTTGTCTGACAAAGCCTGTTATAACTTCATTTTAACAAGGTGATGCACGTGTATTCATAAATACAAATTACGATGTGAAGAGGCTGCAAGTGTTTGGCATAAAGTTCCATCAATAACACTCAGTTAATAATTACACTAAATATTATGTTGTCCTGCTGTTTTAAACTGCTTCTGTTTCTGTAAAGTCACTTTATGTGTAACCTACCATGTTTGCAGAGGAGCTGAAAAGTTATGTGATGATCATTAACATTTGTATAAATGCTGCATTTTTCTACATTCCTTTCCAGCACATTTACACATCTAAACACAGGAAGAATTGACTGTAAAAAAAAAAAAACCACAGCACAGAGGTTACTCACCAAGCAATTTTGCAGTGTTACTTCCCGAGTTTCATACTGTTTATTTCAAGCTCCTGCTTTTATGGCTTCCCCAAACTGCTTTGCAAGCAGACGCTGAGGCAGCCGATACCGATCCTCGCCATCCTCACCCAATACATGGCCAACAGGCCCGTTTGCTAGACAACTGGTCAAAGCTCTCCTGCCTCATACTGTTTTTGAAGGCTACAGGAGAAACACTCCAGAGGCAGAAATGTGATATCCCTTCACCCCAAGATTAAGCTGGTTCAGACTTTGTAAACGGCAGGGTGCAGCTCAGGAGGTAGGCCTTCTAAACATAATTAAATACCAACGCTCTCTTTTGCAGAATTATTCAGAAGCACTTGAATTTAGAGCCATCTACATGCATCTATGAGTGTCCCCCTATAATTTCATTAGGAAATTTGGCTTATTTGCTGCTTACAAAGCTGTGCATAACAATCCATTAAACTGTACCTTAATTATCAATTTACATGGGAGGGATAACTGTTTTTCCTTCTGACATGGTTGAGACACAGCTGTCCAGCAGTAACGTTGAAAAAACATAGATGAGAAGAAGACATATGCATATGCTGACCTTGAAGAATTCACTGATCTTAAGGCAAGCTGAAAATATAAGTAAAATAATTTATTAACTCAAAACTATTTCATACCGACCCTTTCACAAAAAAGCCATCTCTGTGCTTCAGTACCATACCTAAGCCACAAAACCTTTAAATGTGTACATCTCAAAATAAATATAGATGCATCATGCCTACAATCACGTTCAAACTTATCACCTTCATTATTACTGGTCAGAAGTCACTGGTATAATACAGCCATAGGAATCCAAGCTACAGGCATTTAAGTGGCCCTGAAGTGTGAGTTACGTAAACACTTAAAGCTCCGCTTGCGTTTGAGGCATTTGAAGGACTGGAGTTTATTATAAAACAATCTTCCTGTACACCCATCCACATGATACGTACAAATGAGCAAAGACATTACGAGTACCTCAGAAATTCTTCAGGTACAAAAAGAAATTATCTTCACTTCTGATTTCCCAGCTTCCCAGCAAGTTAAGGAGAGTTGATCACTTTTAACAAAGAAACCTCTAGAGAAAACCCTAATTCTGCTGGAAATGGTGTTTGATTAATCAGAGGCATATTAATGGTTGCATTCTTCCTGTGAGTCATACTGGTACAAAACATGTTGTTTAGAGGCAGCTTCTGATGTGGTACAAAACATAAACCTTTTGACCCATGACAACAGAAATAAAACCCTTGGTATTAATCCGGATTTTCTGGACAAGCTTCAGCTTGCGTAACAAAAAATCGAAGAATACTGGGGGCAGCGTAGCAATGAATCTTCCATGATGTAATCTGCATAATTACAATGACAGAAAATATGGCATTTGTCCATATTGAAAGTGGAGGAAGCTGAGCAAGAATGTAACTCAGACTGAAGCGTACCTGTAGGAAAACAACACAATATCCAACAACATAAATACTATGCTTTCAAGAAAGATTTTTAAATTACAGTAAATCAAATTCACTTACACCTTTTTCTATGGGGTCAAACCAAAATTCATCACTAACACGTGCTATGGCATGTATTGCTCTTCCAAACACTAGCAGGAAAAGAAAACAGTGCAATATGCATTCTAAGTTAAAAAAAAGTTATACTGCATTTTCTCCAGAATAATTTAAGAGGAAACATTACAAATTTCCTACGCGTTTCAAAGAAAACCGATGACATGGTGGAAAACATTACTCTTTACTTTCTAGTAGCACAAACACCTTGACGTTTTTGAAAGCTGCCTCTGATGAGGCGCACCTCAAATGTCATCTGTCGCTTTGCAGCAACTGGCATGACGTGATGTCACCACAAATTAATTCAATCTAATCAGACAAAACACCACTTAAGTTAGACATTACATTTGGTAGATGGCAACAAGTTTGAGCAAGAGGTAAGCAATTCGACATCTGTAAAGATGTAGCCCTAAGAAACAGAGAAGAAACCAGTAGTGGGTCTCAAAATGTGCCTTTGCCCACCCTGGCACTGGCAGAGCAGCATTTTGCACGAAATGCTGCGCACAGGTTTAGTTGGGCCTCTGGAAGCAGAACGGCATGCACAGGGCAGCGCCCAGCTAAGCGATGGGTTCTCCACCTGGAAGTTCAACAAATCCAGCCCTCTGCTCTCTAATCTGAACAACCTTCAGAGGCTGCACGTTGCCCCACAAAAATGCCTTTGTCCTCCTGGGCATGAGGAAGAGGCAGCTCCTCAGCTCTGCTGTGACCGTGGCGTGACATGCCACAGCTCCCAGTGCTTCGTGCCCCACTTTGCACAGTCTGAAAGCCCCCACGGGGAAGCCCACCGAGGGCAGTGCCAGGGACCCCAGGGTGCCAGCAGGCCAGTCACGCATCCCCATGGCCGCCGGCCCTGCTGAGCTGTACCGCCCTGAAGCGGCCCCGCTCCTGGGTGCCTGTTTCTCCCACATACACCCCTCTGTCCCAGGCTCGCTGCCTCCCCTGGGGCCACGGGTACCTCTGAGGTGAGCCCCCCCAATGACACACTTCATGGCCCGCCGCGGGCTGCGGAGCCTCCCCCTTCGCCTCGCCCTTCCCCTCACACGACGGCTGCCGAGAAGGCGGGAAACGCCCCCTTGCGGGCGAGGGGAGGGGCCCAGCCCTCCTCAGAGACCCGGATGTAGCCGCAGGGGTGGCTGCGAAGAAACGCGTTTCGGGTTAGGTTGGCCCTTCGGAGGCGCCGTAGCGGGTGATTGGCGTCGGCTTGGCTTCCGGGAGGAGCCGC